CTTATTTTGGAGTAAGTCTTTGAATTTGGACAGACTTTAATTAGAACAAATATTATCTCTATATTTAAATTGTTCAATAAATGTATGCTAATAATTTTTATTTATTTCCATCAAATTAATAAGTTAGTTTAGTGATATTTGAAATCTGAATTATTTTATTATTTAACTTTCTCTCAATATTTTAAATATCCCAATTATTGTACATCATTTTGATATCTTCTTAATTAGCATTCACAAATTTTCGAATTCATTTCTGCAAGATTTTTTTTTTTTTTTTTTTTTTTTTTTTGCTTCTTAAAGTTTACTTGTGATTTAAATGTTTTTGTGTTCAAAACTGCTCAACATACCCATACAACTTACTTTTAATAATTATTTTTCTATGATTTCTAGAGTTTTGATTGTTAAATATCATGATCATGTATGACAATACCGGATGAAATTGCTTTTGACATGTAGAGTTTTAAATCACTTAGGCACATGGTAGGCATTGGGCAACAACTTTAGCAATTGATATCAAATCTTAATAACAAATGATGCAACATGATGTTAAACTCTAATGCATTTATATTGTTATGGTATATCACTCAGAAGATTAATTTTTTTTCTTTTACCCACAAAAACTTTTATGTGGTTTGTGTTGATTAGTTGACGATAACTTTGAATATGAAATAATAAAACTGATTAATTGAAAGTTTCTTTAAAACACATAATAAAAAGAGTGATATACCAATGACATATATAAATTATAAGTTTACTATATACTAATCAATTTAAAAAATAGTGTAGATCATTACCACCTACACTATTTATAATCATTAGTTACCACTATTGACTATAAATTACGAATAAACATATATTATTAATAAGTGCAAGTTAAATATAAATTTCTGCTAACTTCTTTTTTTTTTTTAAACTACTAATAGAATTGTATATAAACTATCATATCAACCTATTTTTGATTGTCACTATTAGTTACAAATTGTTGTTATTTTTTTTAGTTAAGTTATCATTAATTGTGAATTTTTTTTAATAATTTTACATGGTATCTCTGACCACTTTAGAAAGTATTTTTTCTCATCTAAATCGTACATGATAAACATAAAAAAAGAGAGAGAGAAATATGAATTTAGTTTTTATCCTTAATAATAGTGTTAGATAATCGATTGAATTATAGATCTAATTAATTAGTTTTAGTGATTGATTCAGTTTTACCTATACTTTGATGTTGGTAGAACATTTATTAATGTAGCTAGACATGGTTATAAATGAATTCAAGATGGATATGAGAGACAAATTAAAGAAGATTATGAAAAGGGGGGACTTTTTCTTCCTTGGTTATTCCTATATTTCACAATTAGTTGAGAGAGAATTTTGTCTAAATAGAGAAAATCACCAACAAAGAAAGAGAGCTTATGAAGTGTGGAAAAAACATTTCAAGATAACCCTTCTTCCTTCATAAATATTTGTTTACTTAGTTAAGCTTTTTGAAAAAGATAAAAGTTAATTTTTTTCCTCATATGGCAACTCTCCTGGAAAAACAGTTTTATATGATGCCTACAAGAATTATTATAATAATAATTATTATTATTTTTTATTTTCCGGATCATTATTCTAAAGTCTTCTTTTTCTCAACTTCATAAAATTTTTTTTTATATTATCAAATACTTAAAATAAGATTTTAATTTTTTATTAACTAGCACTTTTAGTTTAATATTTTACTAATTTAAAATTTAAAAATATTTTAATTTTATATTATATACTAAACTGATTTTTACTGTACGTAATTTCTTTAAAAAAATAAAAATAAATAAAATAATATATCGTATCTATGAGAGTTCAACTAGATCTCTTTTATATATATATATATATATTTTTTCAATTAAGATGAACTTGTTTATTATCTTCGGTTTACAATTTAAAAAAGATAAATATTTGTGAATTTAAATTAGAATTTAAAGAACTTTAAAAGATATAAATAAAAGATATATTACTTAAAACTTCTATTCTAGTTAGAATGTAAACCTCTTGTAAATGTTTGTTCAGATGAAAAATTAATCTAATTGCTCTTATTTCCAAGAATTACACGTGAAAGACACCCATTGATATTTTCATTTGCCTCCCAATTTCGTTTATTATTATTTCATACTGAATAAAGTCTCTAATTTATACAAAACCAAACTTAAACTACTTTGTATCTCATGCAAAAAAAATTATATTTCGTACAAACTAAATACACACATAATCATATGGTTTCCAAATTATATAGAATTGCATTTATTTGGTGTTATAAAAAGCGGATATTGTTTGAGCGTGGGTATGGGAATTTCCTAGGACAGTTTAAGATGGGCAGTAAATTTAAAGGTGGGAATTTATGACACGTGGGGCACGTGTGGCGGGATCTGTCGGGTCACAAGTAGGCGGGTGCACATGAGACCCATGCACTCATGCCCTCTTCACTCTTAAATAGGCAGATAGTAAGAGTATGGGGTTGCATGTACATGAACCATCGCTCCTTTGCTGCCACGTGTCCGTTTCATGCATTTGTCTATATTCATGATGGTGACAACTCCTACTGCTCGACTGCCCAAGTCTGCCGCTTATTTATGCCAATCGGCGCACGTGATCTTCACTCGAGGTTAAAACTGACTTTTTGTTGAAATCCCATATTCGCCTCTGTAAAATCATTATATTTGGGCATGGAGGGGGAGGGTAAAATCGTCCGAATGGTAAAAATTAGACAACACACATGGTCTGACTTCTGTCTCGGGATTAGGTTATAAAGAAAGTTGGGTCCCACATCGGAGGAGAGAGTAGCCCTTGTTGGGAGTCGTTAACGGCTAGGAGTTGTCAAAGTTGCAACGTCAACAAACCCTGACCGTTCATCCTGTTGTCCAAAAATTACACTGATTCTTCAAAATATAATCACACATATTTTCCTATTTTCAATTAGAAAATATTAATTTTAAAATTTACCCATTTTAGTCATTAATAGAATAATCTATATTAAATCTCAGTATCAAAATTTTCACAATTTTTAATTAAAAGTAAATAATAATTCATTTCTTTATCTCAAAAAAATAGCATTAACTAAAAATTTAATTATTTCTTTTTAAAAAAATTATAATAACTTAAAACATAATTAAACATAAGAATTCAAAAAATTTTAAAATAATAGAGATATCATCAATTATAAAATAAAAATTAAATATTAAAAGAAAATAGAACGATGGTGAATAGAATAATTTAGTAAAAAATTAAATAAAATTAAGAAATTTTTTTTTTTGTCAGAATAAATATATGTTTTAATAAGTAGGGGATAATCAAAAAAAGTATATTGACATTATACCTC